TATTTTCCATTAGGTTGCTTGTTAGTGGGGTTGACTGCTTGCTGTTGTTTCTCATTGAAAAATGTCAATGGAAATGAGGACAGAAAGCAGAAGGAGAAGAATACTCCAGTGTGAGGTCTTATCTCAGTGGCCCACACTTGTTGAGTGAGATTGGGTGAGCGGAGGCTTTTCAGCTCAAAACAACGGCCATTAGGAGCATTTTTACAATTGAAGGGAGCCAATAAAGACCAAGTCCCGGTCTGATGTGTTTCCTGGAGTTAAAACTGCCTGGACAACACAGTGGGCATTTGAATGAGGAATAACTTTAAAAAGAACCACCAAAACACAAATAAGATTTAGCAAGGCCCTCATGATTGACAAATGTATTTAAATGACAACAATTGTAAGTTCCTGTAATGGAGCCCTTTTGTAGATTTACAGTATATGCAGAATAAATCTCTGCATATATACATTTTCAGTGCTTGGAAGAAAAGTGGCCCATCACAATATGGCCCTTAATTGGAAGTATATGCTGAGAAACATGTTCTGATCTCTGTCACAGGATCCATCTGTGTGTGCAAGAGCTGGTTGTGTGCATGTACTGTATGTGGACATACTGTTCGCCCTATGTGGCTGCTCCGTCTATGCGTTTGACAAGTGCATCAAGGCCACTGCTGACATGGAGAGAGGGAAGGGGTTGGACATGAAGACTGCGTGACCTTCCAAGGACAGGAGTGGAAATTAATGATAAGGTGGAGGGAGGGGATGGGAGTGTGTGCTGCAGGCAGCTGGCGTCAGCCTGCTCTGCATGTTCAGAGATTTAAAAGCTTACGGAGTGCGTAAGAAGACACTGAGGAGAATCAGACCCTGAGGTGGCTTCTGTCTGCTTTGTTTTGATCTATTTTAAGTAGACTGTTGCATGAATCTCCTTTCCCTCATTTGTGACAGCCCAGCATTTTGTAGCCACAGCTATCCTAAAGGTTTCTTGGACTGTTTAGCTGATTGTATAGACACTGGTATTTCAAATTCTCACAAGAAAGTATGGCCACCTCTGATGTTAAAGTACTCAGAGGTTAGGCTTGGGAAGACTGAAGTAAAGGGGTACAAAATATAATGAGAACAAAATTCACAGCCTGCCATAGCTATAACTAAAAGTACTGGGTATCTACTCATGCATGTTGCTACTTTTACTGTCATATAATTGTTGCTTTTAAGTAATATTGTAATGTTTTATCTGTATATTGTATGCATTTTAATGTTTTATCCATTGGTGTGTATTGTGTTACTTACCCAGCCAAACTCTGTAGCCCATCCTGGGAAAAGGGTACTTTCTCCTGATGTACACAGACATGGGCATGTTTCAGATATCTGATGTTAATATCGCAGATGAATTTTTCAGAGTGGTCTCTAAATCAGATTTTTCTTTCGTGTTCACCTCGACTCACCTGCTTTCACAGAGTAGCTGCCCTCAGAGTGAACAGGATACAAAAGCCCCGAGTAAAGCTCCAAGAAACCATTCATTTCCTGTTTACAGATGACAAAGACCGATACAGACAGTTTTACTTGATTTATCAAAAATGGAGCACAACAGACGCTGAAGGAAGAAAAGGAAAAGGCCATTGGAAATCTGCTGAATGGGGTGCTTTTGAGTGCTATTTGCATAAAATGTTGTTTGCTGCAAAATGACAAATAAACCGAAATACATGCAGGAAAAGCAGTGAACTTTAAAGGCAAAGCAGTGTCCGCTGCCAGCTGAGCATGCAGCAGAGTAGGTGTTCCTCTGTTTCTCTGTTAATGAAACAGAAATTTCACTGTATCGGTTTGAAGCATGATTCAAATGACAGGACTCTGGAAAAAAATCTGATGTGAATACAATTTTAAAAAAAAAATTCACACGTTTCCCTAAAATAAACAAATCCCTGCAAAAAATGATTATCTATCAAAACTGAATAATACATGAAGTTAATCCCTGCTTTTGTTTTTTAATAGTAAAAACCTCAGGGAGTGCTGACGACGTTCAGTTCAGCGTTTTCTTTGTGAGAGTCTGATGACACAGTTTGTCACCTCACGGCCCCATTAGCTCTGTTTATTTGACACCGGCTCATCGATCTGGGTCAAATGTGGAGATGGGTGAGACCTTTTCATGTTTCTGAATGTACTAGATCCTCTCTTCTGCATCTTTGCTTGCTCACATACTCACAGTGTTCAGTAGGCGCTGTGAATGTTTGTGTGGCCGCAACTTAAAATTCAACAAGTGTCACTTGATATTCACTTGATATTCTGGGCCCTGAACAATGTTCTTTGTTTTTTTCCAATGGCAGCAGGAGGTCTAAACCTGCTCTTACCCAATCAAGCCCCTTTTATAATCAACTAGAGTGTGGTTGGCCCAATCAGAATCATTCCCCCTGATTGATTTTTCCACTAGGCTCTAGGATAATTAGCCAATTTCAACAGGAAACTGAATTAGGCAATTGATTAGTTCAATGTGGCCTTGCCCAGACTCTGGCTTCAAGCACAACCACTTGACTTTGTCTAAAGCAAAGAAGGTGAAATTAAAACAGCTCACCCTTATTTCAGCTTCTTGGTTTTCTGTGCTGATTTTTACAACATAGTAAGAGATGGCTATGTAGAAATACTGGAGACTTCAGCTTGTGAGAAAACCTGTCAGAGCTTTTCTGTGAACAATAGGCCCATCAGATGAGGAATCAAACCTCTCCTTTTCAACATTACAACCCCTGAGAAATACCACAGCATAAAGAAAAATCATCCACAGATGTTAGAGGGCACAGGCGCAGACATCCATCAAGCTCATTGTCAACAAGCTTCCCATCCCTCCAAAGAAACAAAACGCCCTCCAAACCAAATCAATGAACAATAGTTCTGTTTTTCTGCTCTGGCCTGGTCAGTACTACATTTCCCGTCCTTTAGCATCCACACAAAGTCTCCTTGTCCCCCAGTGAGGAAGACTGACACATCCAGCCGGCCTCTTCCATCGCTCTCTGGTCCCTCATCCACATGTGCTTTGTCTCGTCTGCACTGCCTCATTGGAGCAGTCAGCTCCATTCAAGCAGGTTCACGGGGGGGCATTTAGTCATGCACTGTCAGCTCTGCTGTAGTCCTTCGCCTCTCTCTGTGAGGGGTGTTGGGGGAATGACACACACACACACACTCTCTCTACCCAACCTGATCCAGGCCTGACGTGCATGAAATACACACATACGGTCATGCACAAAAGCCCATGTGAGGGCAGACCACCAAGGAGACGTGTCAGAAAGACGGATGCTGGCGGGTCAGTTTGACATAATTGTACTATTTTTGAGAAATGCTCAGTATCAAGGGAGAGAAGTGAGCAATGAGATGGAAGACTGTCTGAAAGAAATACCTGGCAACATGTGACTGTGTTTCTGAGCAGAACTGCAAAGTAACTGAGTACATTTACTCAATTTATGTGCACCTTTAAAGCAGTGGTAATTTCTATTTTATGAAACCTTTTACTGCTGTATCTGTCACATGTGTTATGTAATCATGTACACTTTGATGGAATTGTACATAAAAATCAAATTTTTGGAATAAATATACTTATATTCCACTACTTTCTAAAAATATATTGTACTTGTAGTTGTAGGTATTGGTCACTTTGTAGACTGAGATTTTTCATGCTAAACACACATAATAAGTAGAAGTGACTGAAATATTTTATACAATATTAGTGCAGATACACAGTAATATGAGTTTTGGTACCAATATTAAAAGAATACTTTTTAATTGAGGCACATGTATATAAACATGTATTTCTACAGAAACAACTTTTCACTTCATTCACATTACATTCTACTTGTAATGTTCCTCTAATGCTCTTTAAGTGAGGTTTTGAATGCCAGGCTATTTATCTGTTGCTACAACAGTATGCGACCTGAATGTGTCTTCCTGAACTGGTAGTAAGTAGATTAAGGCTTAACATGAAGTCAAATTACTGTACACTGGGCTTTCTGGATGATGATTGTATTACTCTAAAATGTTCACCTGTGAACAGTAACATGTTTGGTGCAATGAAGATGAAGGTTTGGAGGCTGGAGACTTTATGACCCTGTAAAAGAGCATTGTAATCCCTCAAATGATCTCATGAACTGCTGCTTAATACTTAATACCTTTACTTAAACCAGCTACAGTATAGCCAATAGATAAACCCTCAGAGAATGATCAACTCTGCACTTAGACTCAGTTTTACAGAGCCTTATAGTGTCTTTCAGCTCATTATTTTGAATGCAGCTTTGCTGAAATGCTAATGCTGCTAATGTTGCACTGTGTCCGGTGGATTAAGCAGCTGTTAGCTAATATGTTTGACATGTCAGCCTAAAAGGCAACAAGGCAAACACGCCGTGTTGTCTTCACAGCTTTTTCTGCCACCCTTCAAACAGCCAAAATATCACATACTGTACAGCAGGTATAAAAGTTTGAGTGCAGTTCTACTTGTATTAGAGTATTTGCTTTGAGGGTATTCCTGTTTTTACGAATTAAACTACTTCCTCCAGTACTATGTTAGTTTGCTTGTGTCTACTCACACAGCATACTGTATCTGCACATGAAAAGCAATCACAGGCTCAAAGTTTTCTTAAATTAAGTGATGTAGAGGATGACTAAGGCAGTAATCCTCTCAGCTCTGCTCACCCTGTCTTATAATGATAATGGTGAGAACAATTACACACACATACTTTCATCTGTTTTGCCAAATCCAAACTGTAACTACAATTAAAGACCACATTTGTATTTGCGTTCTCACAGTGGAAGCAAATGCAGCACACTTGAGCACACACACATACACTTACATACTCATAAGTACACACATACACTAATTTTGTAGCGTGAACGCCTGTGTGACAGAGCGCTGGTGAGAAGCAATTTCCCCTCCTTGTCATTATTAGATTAGTGCTTGTATTATTTGGGAGAATAAATTGGCTGCAATTGAAATGCATGCCATCAGTCTGACTCTAATACTGTACATATCTCCTCTGTCTCTTCAGCGTGCTGTTTGTTCCTGATCATGAAACACAGTGCGCGCCAGAGGGACGGCACCATCACCGTCACCCCCAGTCAGATGGGGCACTCACTTTGCTCCCATGATGTGTTTGCTTGAAGCTGAGCTGAGAGGGGCCGCTACAACATGACAAAAAAAATGATGACTAAATCCTGAAGGGTAAGTAAGTGAACTCACTAGTGATGATCTGAGTGAAAGGAATTACCTGCTGTGACCCAGTTTTGTTTGCTTTGCTAGAGAAAACTATTTATCGACTCAATCCTGCTGTTTTCTAACACCAAATTGTCTAATTTGAGAGAAATAGCGACAAGGCAGTACAATCGAAAGCAGCGGGCCACTTTTAAATCACCTGTATCAATCATTTCAAGAGCACCGAGGTCACATGGGATTCACCACTATACTCTGCACCATTAGCAGGTTGCAGCTTTGTGGGATGCATGCGCTTTGCTTAAATGCCTCCCTTCATTTTGCGGCTTTCATTTGTTGGCTGCTGATATAAGCCCAGGCAGCACCACCTGAACACTTTGGCTGTGAAAGGTAATTGATTGGCCAGGATTATTCCCCTCCCAGTCACCTGCTGATGGTGCAGAGAACGACAGAGGTGATGCAGTGTGCAGCAGAGTGTTTACTTATGTTACTACAGTTATGTAGTGTTACATTTATATAATTTTTATTTTTACATCAAATGCTTAGAGTAAAATTGACTCCCAGTATTTGCCCTCGTTTTTAAATACTGCTGAAATGCTCAAAGGTAAGTAAGCAATTAATAACTGGAAACATACTCATAAAAATACAAAGCATTTTTCTTGCTCTCCATTGACAGCTGACGGAACAGTTATTCAACCTTTACCCAATTCTTTCTTCAGGTCAAGTAAAAAACACTGTAGTTTAGTGCACAGTGCATGTACTATATGCTATATTTGAAATAGCGAGTAGTTATGAGTGGTTAACATCAAAACATTCTCATTCTGATGTTTTTTTCAAGTTTTTTCATGTCCCATACTGATGCTAAAGGGTCATTTGGCATCCATATAAGATGCTTGTGGTTTTCAATACAGAACAGCCATTGGTACAAAAGGATATGGTTCTGTTTAGGTACAAAAACTATGTGGATAGGTTTAGTAAAATCTCATGGTTTGGGTTAAAACACTCACTGATTAAAAAACACTTCACTCTGCTCTCCTGTAGGAAAGTTTTATTTGACCCACCTCCTAACATGGACTTTCTCCCTGCAAATACTACAACCTATTGCTCTGGGTGTCAAATAATGGCACGAGTAGATACTCTGTTGAAAACCTTGTGCATCTCCTATGGACACCAAAGGTAGCTTTTGTATTATTTGTCCCATGTGGCCTCATATGGATGCCAAAGGCATTCAAACGGGGTAAAGGTCCTTGACATATACTGTATTTGACACCCTGGGAATGAGGATGGGCACTGATGGAAACCAAACATCACAAACTAAAACTTGAACTTCATGAGCAGAAATCATCCATCCATCCATTTTCTTCCACATATCCAAGATTGGGTTGCAGTCGCAGCAGGTTCAGTAAGGTAATCCAGATGTTCCTCTGCCCAGCAACATTTTCCAGCTCCTCTGGCAGGATTCCAAGGTGTTCCCAGGCCAGATGAAATATATAATCTCTCCAGCATGTGCTGGGTCTGCCCCGGGGTCTCCAATCAGTTGGACATACCCAGAAGACCTCCAAAGGGAGGTGCCCTGGGGGCATCCTGATAAGATGCCCGAACCACCTCAAGTGGCTCCTTTCAATGTCAAAGAGCAGCGGTTCTACTCCGAATCCCTCCCGAACACCAGACTCTATCTCTAAGGCTAAATTCGGCCACCCTGTGAAAGAAACTGATTTTGGCCACTTGCATTTGCAGTCTTATTCATTCAGTCACTAACCACAGCTCGTGACCATAGGTGAGGGTTGGAGCGTAGACTGACTGGTAAATTAAGAACTTTGCCTTTTGGCTCAGCTCTTTCTTCACCTGACAGTCTGGTACAACGTTTGCATTATTGCTGATGCTCCCACTATCTGCCTGTCAGTCTCACACTCGATTTTTCCTTCACTCGTGAACAAAACCCTGAATTACTTAAAGTCCCTGACCTGGGACAGGAACTCACTCTTAACCTAGGAGGAACAGGTTGGTTACAACTGACTGAAAAGTTGGTTTTTGATAAAAACTAAATTTGACAAAGTATAATGGCAACAGTGAGTCATGAAGACACGTGAAGCTGTCAGTGTTTTTCTTTATGCTACCAGTACATTTTATGTATTGATTGCTATCAGGATGAAAAGATAACTTCCAGAATGTAACAAAAATCCTTCTGAAATGTATCGCCAACCCTTCCTTTAATTCACATTTTATTTTAAACACGTTCTGCAATGTCTTTGAAATGTCTTCTTTTCCATTTCAGTTTGCCTGGGAACGTTTCAGAAAGTCACCCAATAGATTAGTCAGCTACTGCCGAGCAGAAACCTTCTGTTTCTCTGTTTCCCTCCTCTCGGGAGGCTTTGCATGCTCCCTGTCTGTCCATCAGCCTGCCTGGCAACATAATTAGAGTGCTTCCAACAACATTATCCACTCGACAGACTTACCACTTATGAATGCTGCTCCACTGACATTACACGCTGTTGTCAAGTCCCGCCTCTGTCTGAGCATTTCTTCTCCCTCCCGCTCTGCAGAGGCCTGAGGGAAGCAGCTGGAATCTATGAGTTGCTACCGAGGTGAGGTGGCAAAAAACCAGACAGATCAGAGGCCTAATTGTTTTTTAATGTGCTTGACTGAGGGCAGAAGGGGCTGGTTGTGAGTGTTTGTTTATGTGGTCTTTGTGTCTGATTCATGTGTTTCAGCATGCAGGAGTATGAGATTTTGTGTGTGTTGTGATGCTGGAGGATATTAAATTTTGATCTCTTTAGAGCAGAGCATACTTACTGGATAATTACCATTATTTCCCCATCTGAAAAGATGAATGAAGGTCAGACAAACATGCTGTCACCTTTTGCTCTGTGGTCTTCACTTTTAGCCTTGTCTTGTTTGTTTATTTATTTCCAGACTCATTTCTTTTATTGGCATAAAACACTCTCAGTACAGTACAGAGATATTTATTAGTTCTTCTATATGATTAATCTCACATTAGACCACTTGTGATGTTGATCATTTACAATAAGTTGATTAAGAATGATGTGTAAAAACATTTTTTTTAGAAATATAACTTCTTTTCAAAGCCATTTTCTTCAATGACCCATTCAAGCACACTGTTTGCTACCTGTAGCACACATTTACTGTATATTAAAATGTTATCCAAGTGGTTTTCCCATTTGCCGCTCTTTGACTGTATCAGTCCTGCGGGTGTCAAAGTATTTCATTTGTTGCCTTGTATCAAAATGAACCTTTGAAAACTGCATACTTCAAAGTTGGATCTAGCAGTGACTTGTTCATAATGGCGGAAGGTATCTGTCATGTTTTGAAGACATCAGGCACTTTGCCAAATGTTGCAATTTCTGTAGAGCTCTTTTAAAAGCACCATTTGAAGCTTTGAAAAGCAGATCAAATTACACACAAATAGTTCTGGAGCATTTTTAGTTTAGATGAAAAGCTTGCGTTAATGTGTGAATTATTTCTGATTTATCCACATTAGCAAAAACAATTTAATCTCTTGGCATTTCAGTGGCATTTATTTTGGCATCATTAAACACTTTGATTGATCACTGGCTCATTTTGCCTTTTAGATCTTAATGTCACAAGTGGAGTCATCTCTTAATTAATACGGAGTGAAGTCACCATCCATTACAACAATCTCAGCCATTATAATGTATAATATATTTGGTACATGTGGAACATCTGAACGCTAAACACAGTGCACAAAGTTATGTATTGATTCATAGCTGTTGGCAAATTTTTATGCATGCAGTATTTTTCTTGGTACACAAATATTCATTAAGCTAAACACACTTTCAGTCAGTGTTGGAAGGCAGGAGTTTTTACTAGAAGCCATTGTGTAACTGTGAAAACAGCACTGCAGCAGTCAAGTCAATGATAGTGATGATATACCTTAAAAAGAGTCAGACCAAATGTACTGTAAAACTGAATTCACAGAAGTACAGGCTGCCATATCAGTTAAACTGTCCTTATTGACAGGAAAAGCAAAGATTACTAGTGAAAAATCCACACTGGGTCCCTCTACAAAGCAGAGGAAAATACAATACTAGTATAACCGCAGCAATAAACTGATCTCAGGAAAACAAAATTCTACTAAATCATAACTCAGCAATTACAAAACAGCTGTAATAAAATTGTACCAGATGATCATCCAACAAGGGCATTTGGTGAGAAGATAAAAAAAGCCTGTGATTATTTGCATGGTCACAGATTGGACAGAAGGCTGGATGTAACATTCACTGTTAAATGGGTTTCTGAAATCACCCATTCACTGCCCCCTATATAATGGGCACTCAGTTATTAGCATTAAACTGAGATTTCTAGGCATGCTTATGTTTTGTTTTTGCCCACATGCCCAAACTTTCAGTAAGTGGCCCGAGTACCTTATGCCAAAAGTAATCCCAACACATCCACTAACCCTTCTTTGTGGCCCTTAGGCTGTTTTCACAGTCCCAGTATAGTTGTTTTTAATCCCACATGCTGTATCAAGCCTTGAGCACATGTGTTTCCAATACTTCACAGCATGAGATAACTGCACTGTGTCGCACATTTGTGGTCATGCTGAGCAAACCGAGGCCAGCCTGGGTTGCTCTTCCTCTCTCAAACCAAAGTCCTGTCTTTGGCTAAGCAGCACATGTGAGATGTCTCTCAGCGAAACTGAATTCACCCACATTTTGACTAAACTACTGTCCACTGGGTTTATCTTGACAGGAAAAGCTAAATTACTGGATAACATAAAACAGTGATGGCAACATCTAGAGGAAGATTTAGGTAGTTGATTGCCGAGATTAATCTTGGGACTTATTCAGCCCTTTTTACAGCAGCGTAAAATATATCTGATTGAAGGGAATGTTAATGCTACATCCTTGTCCACAGCACTTAATCTTAATTTATTTTACTTTTTCATAAATGTACCTGCATCACTTTTTGTCTTCATGTTTTATTCTCAGTGTATTGAAGATTAATGGAACACATAAACCTGTTTCTTCTCA